AAAATTTTAGAAATCTATTGTTGTTTCAACAAATCCAATATAGGCGTCACCATAGGGCCTCATTTTATTATATTGTATTTTTTTATGTGTTAGTTTTTATTTTAGTAAGGGATTACCCACTAGCCTCCAGCATTTTAGCATGATTTATATCTTGTAGAACGTAGACTCCTTCAAGATTTTGAAGAAATATTAAATTACAAAAATTTACTCTTAGGTGAATTTTGGGCTAACATCTTTAAAATAAAAAATTCACTGAACTAACCAATTTTTTACAAATATAAAAAATTTGTGTTTTATTAACATTACCCCATTCTTTTGCAGCAGCAGAAAGAATTTTCTTTCAACTAAATAATAATAAAGTTTTATTGTTAAATGTATAATAGTTCTGGTACATTTATGTTACTTAAAAATATTATCTATTACGATTTTATTACCTTTTGGTTCAAAATTCTATTACGAAAAATTTAATTGGTGTGGCAACACTGTTGGCCAGTAGCTATTAAAGAATTAACATTCTGGTACTAGAGTTAAAATAAAATACGCGTAAAATACATAAGAGGCCAGTGTTTCAGAAATTTCTTTCAATCTCAAGAGCGAAAATGTTTCTGTGATTATGAGTGGTTTTGGAAGAAATACGTTCAGTAATGGTCGTGGAGAAACCTCTTTCTGTATCACGTATCTGTATGATCCAACCAAACAACAATCTAAAACTGAGATGTCTCAGTTTTTTTTTTAAATGTTATATATTATTAAAATTTAAATACTAAAAAAAACTATATTTTCCTATCTTATCTTCATTCTGCTTTTCTGCTCCCATATCTATCTCGTTTACTTCTTAACTACATGCTCACTATAAATTCTTTCTTTCTGTTTATATTTTCTATGTTTATTTTTTTTTCTTTTTTTCAGGTCATCTACAAAATAGTTATGACAATTGGGATCATTATTGGAACTATAGTCATCATTTTCTTCAAATCTTTTATTTATAAATAAATAATTTGTGACAATATTTATAGTCTGATTATATTATTAACTTATATAGCATAATAAAAGAATATCTTCTAAAAACAGAGGGCAATTGCCCCCCCCCCCCCCCCCCCCGAAAAGCCAGGAATTTTTTTTTATTTTGTCACGAAAAATTGCCCCCCCCCCCCTAGAAAACCAAGAAAAAAGTATGTTTTATTTTATTTATATATATGTTATCATGAAAAAATACAATAATTTATTAATAATATATAATTAAAGTATTTTTAGTAATTTTAGTATTATATCGATATCTCATTACATTCCTACTCATCAAGTGTTTTGTTGCCGTCTAAGGAGCAGTCGCATCTCGCAGCGTTGTATTCGCGACTCGCATACTGGTACTGCCACAGGTACTGCTTACAGTGCGTAATCGCCGTCTCGCGCTTTAATTTTTCTATGGCCCTTTAGTTTGCAACAGACCACCGCCCAGAGACGTTGTGTTATGGACACTCGCGGGCGCATTATTCGTAGCCATATTTTTGTTTTGTGCCAGTTGCCATAATAAGAGTAGTAGTTGTTTTTGCTTTGACAAAATGAAACGGGCGGGAGTGCAAAGCAATTTATTGAACTTTATTAAAAAAATTAAACAAGGCGATGAAAATAATGATTTGCCTTGTACGTCTACTGCAGCTGATGATACCTCATCAAATATCAATGAAAATTTGGAAGAACCCCCTACTTCTTCAACAGCGATAAGAACACCCTCAGAAACACAGCAAAATTTTCCTGTTAATGATGTTAGCAATATTTTAACAAATAAGTTAACAGAAGAACAGTATATAAGTATAATGAACGAAATTTGGACTCCGCCACTAAATTTCAATTTTCCAGCAAAGAAAGAAGGTAAATTTACAAGAAAATTTAATAGAGCATATTTAGAACAGTATAAGTGGCTAGAATACTCTTTAAAAGAAGATGGCGTTTACTGTAAATTTTGCGCTTTTTTTGCAAAAGAGAAGTCGGCCATACTAGTAGTCAACAAGTAGGTATGCTTTGTACTGAACCTTACCGTAAATGGAAGAAATGCGCTGAAAAGCTAAGACTTCATGAAAAGACTGAATATCATAAGAGGTCAGTTTTAGATTATGTTAACCGAAAACAAGTGATAGAAAATAAGCAAATGTCAATAGAAAAGTTATTGTTTACTAGTCGCGAAAAACAGGCACAAGAAAATAGACTCAAATTAATACCTATTATTAAAACTATTATATTTTGCGGGCAAAATGGTCTTCCATTAAGGGGGCATCGAGATTCTGGATCCCTAAACTTGGAAACATTGTCTTGCACGCTTGGTGAAGGTAAATTTCGGGCTTTGTTAAAATTTCGAATTGATGCGGGTGATGAAATTTTGAAAAAACATATATGAGGTTCTACTGATAACGCAACGTATTTAAGTAGTAGACTCCAAAACGAAATAATAAATGCATGTAATACTATAATTTTACGAAAAATAATAGCAGGAGTAAAATGTGCAAAATATTATGCAATCTTGGCTGATGAAACAACCGATATTGCCAAAATAGAACAGTTTGTTCTTTGCGTTCGTTACGTATGCAATAATTCATTCATTAAGGAGTCATTTCTTCAATTTATTCCGGTAACTTCAACTATTGGGCATAATTTAGCGAAAACAATTACCGAAAATTTAACAAAGTGGGGTTTAAATTTAAATAATCTTAAAAGCCAGGGCTACGATGGGGCAGCGGCAATGAGTGGTCAGTTTTCTGGGGTACATGCTATTATAAGGAAAGAATATCCTACAGCTTTATATGTTCATTGCGTCTCACATTCCCTTAACCTTGCTATATCCGATGCGTGTTCTGTCCAGGCTGTACGAAATTGCATGGGTGTTATTGAAAACGCTTACATTTTTTTTAATACGTCCATACGTCAAAACGTTTTAACTAACAAAGTATCTGAAATGCCGGATAATGAAAGGTCAAGACGAGACAGATTAAAACAACTTTGTCCTACTAGATGGGTTCAAAGACAGGATTCGGTAAGTGTAATGAGAGAGCTTTTAAACCCTCCAGTACTGACGTTAGAGGAAATAGCTGAGTGGCCAGACAAAGAAACGTCTACTAGTACTAGTAGCAAGTTGTTACTAAATACTTTAAGTACATAAGAATTTCTCATTGCTCTTTTTGTAATTGAAAATGTTTTTGCATTTACCACTCCCTTATCGAAATTGCTGCAATCAGTTAATATTGATTTAGGAAAAGCAATATCACTAGCTGAAAGTTGTTTAAAGGAGCTTAAAAATTTACGTCATAAAGCAGATAGTAGTTTTACAACTATTTTTGCAGAGACAAACAAAAATATAAACAAATTATTTGGACAAGAAATAACAAAACTACGCATAACTAGCAGACAAAAGAATAGGGCAAATTTTGAAACTAATACTGCTGAAGAATATTTCAGACTATCAATATTTATTCCGATTTTAGATTATGTCATACTGCAATTAGAAGAGAGGTTTGTTAAACATAAAGAAATACTACAATCATTTAGCTGTCTTGTACCGTCACCAAATAAAAAACTTGACAATGAACTCCAAAGTCTTAAGTATTTGGTAAACTTTTATAAAAATGATTTAGAAAATTATTCATTTCCTATAGTTTCTGCTTAATTCAGACTTTGGTATGGAAAGTTTGTAACTTGTGTAACAGAAAAATATCCAAACTCCGCTCTCGATGCCCTAGTAATGTGTGATCAGGATATATTTCCTAATATATTTGTACTCTTAAAAATTTTTTGTACTTTACCTGTAAGCACGGCAACCCCCGAAAGAACATTTTCGACACTTAAATTGTTAAAGACTTACTTACGAAATACAACAAGTGAAGACAGACTAAATAGCTTATCTCTTTTATATGTGTATCCAGAAATATCAGTGAATGCCGAGGAAGTACTTAACGAAAGAAAAGAAAAATTGATATCGTCTTTTAATTTTATTTGAAAGCAAAAATTAGACGGTTATACCTACTTTAGCTTGGCTTTTTTCTTTTACTTTTTTTGTCTTTATTATAGATAATTATAATATATTGATGTTTGACTTTTTTTTGTTTTTTCAAGAAGTATTTGTTTTTGTTACTTTATAATAATTTATTTTTTGTTTGAGCCCTTGCGCCTGTTTCGCTATATGTATTTTTTGTTTTGTTTGTGTAGTTTTTAAATTAATAAAAGAAATATGTTAATTATTCCTTGCCTAGTTAATTAAATACCTTATTTTTTTCTAGTAATAGGCTAAAAATAATTAATTGACTTTATACATGGTAGGTATATAAAGTGACCAGACTACCAGATGTCCTGCATTGCATTGAGCAGGACATTCAGGACAGTCAAGCATTCATAGACTCTGTCCAGCAACTGTGGTGCTTCATTGAACCGAACAATATCTGGTCTTTTTCGGTGAGCTCAGAACCGGAGCGAGCGGAGGGGGGAAAATTTTGGGAAAAAAGGCGTGTTTTTTTTTAACGATCTTAATGACTTTTGGATAAAAATTCCCATTCAAGAGACAAGAGGGTGACGAAGGCGTGATTTTTTAACGATTTTATCGGCTCCTGAGTAAAAATTGGGCGTGGCAAACCCAAAATTTTCTGCCTTCGGCGGTTAGCCTCCGGCGGCCCCTGCACGGGGGCTATACTTCACCTTTACCATATTGCCCCCCCCCCCCCCCCAGAAATGAATCCTGGGTACGCCACTGTTATTACCAATACAATTAATTAACTGTTCCGAAATAATAAAATCATATACATTCGTATGCCTTTGTACTCAAAAAGATCATATACATGGTGGCCCATTGAAAACGTACCGCAAGGCATTACAGGGTGGAAAAGAACTTTTCGGCGAAGGGACACCTTTTGAAGCAAAAAGCATAGTAAAACCATGGAGCCTTGAAAGTTAAACAATAATTTGTGTCGAAAAATGCAAAAAGCAATTCAATGCTTACTGTATTAGTTAAATAAATGCTCGAAATGCTGCGCTGCCTGCCGTTGCCGTATATTTTGGAGCATTTGCGGTGTGACTTCACGACATGCGTTAATGATTCTTCTTCGCAACTCTTCTAATGTGCCAGGTGTAGTTTTGTAAACTACGCTTTTTATGTGTCCTCACAGGAAAAATTGTAAAGGACTTAAGTCGCGTGACCGAGGTGACCACTCAGTTGCGCCCCTTAGTCCTGGAAATGTGTCATATAATAATTGTACACATTTAGAGAGTAATGCTGTTGTTGGAAAATCAGTTCCTGTTCGTTGTATGCGGGAACGTTCTCTATGATATTTAATATTTGTTTGAGCTGAGTCGATTGCATTTTGTAGTAAATCCAAGTACATATCACCTGTTAAATTTCCAGTGAGGAAAAAAGGGCCTACAATGGAATTTCCATAAATACCAGCCTATATGTATATTTAACTTGTCGGGGTGTTGTGTGTGTCTCTCGTGGATTGCTGTCAGCCCAGTAACGGCAATTGTGGCGATTCACTAAATCGTGTAGGAAGAAAGAACACTTATCCGAAAAACACACATTAAATAGGAAATGATCATTGTTTACGATCGAAGCTGTCTTCATTCAGTTCTTGCACTAAGCGAATTTTATAAGGATGGAATTTTTTTTCTATCCCGTTGGACACTTGTACACGACACAGCCATCGCAATGGCCAATTGTCTTGTACTCAGCGTACTATCCACTGTAACTTGCCCAATACTGCTACCTCCCTAGGTTCATTTAACACTGGATCTTCTATGTGCAGACGATTTAAAGCTATTTCGTTGTTTCCCATACAGGAGACTGCTTAGCACTTCGGTCGGACCTAAATTAAGCTTACAACTGTGTACAGATAACTCACCTCTTCTTAACTTATCTAAGATTAATGTAATGAGTACTTCCATAATTTTTTAAATATAACAGTGAAAATAATTTATTGAAGAGATGTACAATTTTCAAGGATCTCGGGGTAACTTTTGACTGCTAATCAAATTTCATTGAGCACATTAACAATATACACAGGAAAGCTTATGAAAATTTAGGATTTGTTTTAAGAAACTCCAGACAATTTTTAGAAATGAGAACGATATCTCTACTTTTTAAGTCTTTTGTCCTATCTAAATTAGAATATGCATTCCAGGTATGGTATATCCTTATTATCAAGTTCACATTGATAAATTATAAAATATTTATAGAAGATATGCTAAATATTTATGGTTTAAATCTGATGGTTATTTACCTCGTAGAATACCCCCAAGACATCTTACTTTATCGATTTAAACTTGATGATTTGGCCACTTGTTGTCTATATACAACTTTGGTTAAGTAACATAAAATAGTGACTAACAAAATTGATTGCCCGGAGTTACTAAATCTTCTACATTATCATATTCCTAATTTTACTACTAAATTTTCCACGCTATTCTATTTTTCAACTCCCAAAACCAAATAGTCTTAAATTTTTTTTGGTGACTCAATTTATTTCAACTCAACTTTACAATAATTTAAATATATAACTGATAACATAAACGTTTGTCTGATGCCATCCCATTACTAAAAAAAAAAAACATGAACGTACACGTTTATCATAAAACTAAAAACTCTGACGTCAGAATCATCGACTTGTATAGCTTCTTTGGCCCTTCTAAAACTTTTTCGAACTGTCCAGATTTTTCTTGACAATGAATGACATTTCTGGACTACTGTCTTCTTCTTCTACCCGTACTCTTACTTATGACGACCGCAGCAATCTGTAGGGTGATGGGTGATATTGCACTTCTTTTTGTATTCGTACGTTTCCTATAACAGCCGCAGGCTACTACAGGGTGCAGGATAACAATATTAAAATATTCACCACTATATAGAATGGTTAAAAAGGTTATAACCACTTATAAAACTGGTTTCTCTCTTAGAAGGTATCACTGTATGAATGAGGTAGAGCATGAAACTGACCGATAATAAATGGTTTAGTTGAAGGTGATACTGAGTAAAACGAGTGACGCCGTCACATGTTTTTTATTTTTAATTAATAAGGACATTTCATTTTGCATGATAGCCGAATTTTAAACTCTAGACGGAAGCATTTTGAAAAATCAGCTTTCCAGGCTTTAGTCGAAGAGATCATTCTAGTCTAGGCATATGCAAAATCAACCACGTCCGCTATTTCAGTGTCGCTGCAATCGTGGAATGTGGTAAAAGATGGTTATGATAGATGAATTATTGATTATTGTCAGGGTGTCATGGTGTCATGGTTGAAAAGAAAACTTACAATTACAGGTGAGTTAATTTATATAGTTAACTTGGTTGCAGTTAGATGTATTTTAATTTTTAATTTATTTAGTTGAGCCACAGTATAGAGAACAATCGGTATTGCGACTCAAATTTTTCGGAAGGTCTAAGCATCAGTTCTGCATCGTTTGCGTCGCCATTTTCTTAGGATCAATTATATTGTGAAGACATGTTCTGTGCAGTAGCTTATTTTTTTAGTCTTCTACTAGTTGTGTATCCAGACAGTTGTCAAGTGTTATTTTTCTTTTTAGTGGTTATCTCCATAGATTGGACGTCTGCCTCACAACCGTTATTGATAAATAATATTCAAAATTATATATAACATCTTTTGAACTTGAACTTTATTGCAGTCTAAATTTCAGATGGGAGATTAAAGATATTGTAATTTTAAGTGTGCTATAATAATTGTGTATAAAAAGTTTTGTACAGATATATAAAAATTATCTAAAACTGCGAACCCGGTTTTGACAATAATCCTAATAAAATGGTGCCGCCTGACAAACTTCTTCTTTATGAAAAATGGTATCAAAGGTACCGCTCGAGAGTCGCACTACTGATTGTTCTCTATACTATTGTTGAGCTTTGTAAGCTTATTTTTCATTATATTTGTGTTATTTCCTAACAGTTTTTGGAAGCATACCGGATGGATTACCTTCAAATTAGTTTTTAAATCGCCTTTTGTGCCTGGATAATAAATATTCATCGAAAGAACTGCTTTCAACTTCAAATGATTTAGACATCGAATATATGCTATGTATTGGTAAGTTTAAAAATTTCTATACAGGGTGTTCCATCTCAGACGAGCAACCCCGTATATTTCTTATCCCATAGTAATTGGAAAAATTTCCCGA